ATAGATTTAAAAACAAAATATATAAAACCTAACTTAAATAAGTATTACTAGATCAGTTAGATTAAATAAGACATATAATATCCTGTAAGTAATCTCAAAGTCAACTATTTAGATTTGTTGCTTCAGTATTGGTTTATGCTGGCAACTGGAAACGTTTGCCACCGTGCCACAATTGTTGGCCGCAAATTTGTTTGGCAACCTTCTAATTCCTAATTATGCCCAATATTCCACACATATTCGCTGCTGATTTGCCCACATATCTTTTGTTTACGCATTGCTCTTACTTTTTTGCAATATTCGCACTTTTACTCCACTTCCACACGTGTGTGCATGTCTGACGTGTGTGTGTGTGTCCTGCGTTAAGTATGCTTTATTATTTGCGCATAATTAGCGCATTTCAATTTAGAACAAAGTCGAATTTGCTGAGACTTCCCCAGCGTAATCTTTTGACTTTCTGCTTTTGCTGCAAAATGCAAGTTTTCTTATAGGGGGTTTTTTGTTAAAAAAATTTAGCCAATATATTCTGATTCTTACTTAGAGATGTAAGAAATGAAGTGAAGAAAATAAATACATATAAAATGAAGTCATTTTATAATTTAAGTTCAGCAGCCTGATGTTCTTATTTTTCATATAATACATAGAAAATAAATTGGAAATGAATATTAAACGAAATTTAATTTTTATTTATACATACATACATATATTATTCTTAGAAACAAAAATTTTTTTATATATAATATTCTTATTAACAAAATTGCAAAAATCGAAAAATGTCTTATAATTACAAAAATTCTTTAAAACAGAAAAAATAATATAGTTTTAACAATTATGAAATATGTTTATGCATATACATACAAAAAACTCTTTTACACTTATTAAATTCACACATTTGGAAGAGGTGAAAGCTATTAGAACAGTTAGCAAATACACTTAACCAATTCAAGCTTTGAAAGCTTACCGGAAAAACTTAAGCTTAAAGCTGTATTGTCTATTTCATTTTGAAACATGAATTTATTTGAAAATTTGGGTATAAAATTGAAAATAAAATGTTTCATTGTTATGCAAAAATCGAAAATATGTATATGTGGACTATAAACGCATATTCAAGATGATGTGTAACGGTGGCGTATAGCTTTGATAAAAATTGATTTGCATAATATTTGGCCTTACACAAAACCAGGCTAACCCTCAAATATCTTGCAAAGTGAACTCAGAAAACATGTAAATTGCCGACTAATTTTAAGATGTCGATGATATTTTAAGTTTATATTTGTTATGCAATTTTAAAAATATCAATATTTTTCAATTTTTTATAAACTTTTTTCCCACAATAAATTTACAATCCGACCCAAAAAAAAAAAAAAACAATAATAATCATAATAAATTTTATTGAAATGAAACGAGCGCTGAACTCCAGTTTTTGGTACTCAAAAGCATCATAATACATGACTTTTACAAGCAATATATATTTTGGATACTACGGCCCTTCACACTAAATAAAATATACAACTTTTAGGTACTAGAGCCTTGTTTGTTAGAAAATACATATGTATCTTCAAACGTTACTAACACGCTCTGAAATTTTCTGAAGGTAAGACCACAACATAAAGTAGTTCAACAAATAAGCTCTCATATTTGGGAAATTCAATAGACATTGACGGATAGAATCACAGCAATTTATTTTTTCTACGTAGTTAGTAAAAGGCAATCGATATCATTATTAGATTTGATGGTGCTTAACATTTGGCCGAACATTCATCGCCTTCACAAATGTCGCAAAGCTTCGATTCAACTTGGTAATATTCAGTGGCCTTCTTGTTCGTATCGTAATAATCATAGAGGACAATCGGGGCGGGCTTCTGATTGGCAACAGCATGAGTCTTGAATGCTTCGATGGGTAGGCACTTGATTTCTCCCTTGGGCAGACTCTCAAAGTAGATGACCACCACAGAATCTTCATTCTTGGTTTCTACCAGCTGCATAAAGACAAAACAATAATAATAAAATCGGTTCGTCGAATGGATGATGATCATTCTTCAGACTTACCCTGACGCGTTCGATTTCCTGTATGTCCTTGAAACTGTCCTCATCTACGGTATAGCCGGAGGGTAGAGAGACTTCCAGTATGGCCATGTTGGATGCTTTAGCCTTGCCCTCCTCTACATACTCAACGCATACGCTGAGTTCTAGCTTGGCTGGGGGCGAGTCCGGTTTAATAATAGCTTGAATCTTGAAGCTAGGTTTCGGCTCCTTCTCGACAATGTTGTACTGGTAGCTGATTTGTAGCAGGGCAGCGCCAGTTCCCTTCGCCTCGTACGACAGCGACTTGGTGCCTTGAGGGAACTCCACGGTTTGTAGTAGCAAATCGTTATCTTCTGTCAGGCTGAGCTTCTCAGTCTTTTCCCGCTGACCATGATTGGAGACGGACACGTCCCACCTAGCTGGCACGTAGCCGGACGCCTTGGCGAACTTTATGAGGGCCTGCAGGCCAGCCACCGTATCCTGCGAAGAGGCAAAACCACCAAAGCTGTTCCGCTGTGCCACCAGCCAGCGAATCGAATTAAGCACCGAGTCGGGAGTCTCCTGGCCCGATTCCAGCAGCGAGAGCACTGCATATGATGTGATTTCAATGTCATGACTCCACACCCAGCACCACCAGCGACCACATTTGCCGGAGCGCAACTTCTGTTCATCTTCCGTCCACCAGGTGCGATCTTCCTCTTGCTTGGCAAGCGCTTTGAGTGCAGCCACATGCTTGGCGGCATCTGGAGACTTGGCCCTCTGCAAAG